AATCAAGTGTGGTCATTATTTTCGTTCCAAAATTATCCCTATTCAATAATGACCGTCAGTTTAATAATCCTGAGAATGGAGAGTGGAGATGTAGGTAGCCACTATGGCTACTTAAAAATCAGTAACCATCTTAACTCTTCCCCAAAATGAGTGATATTACTGTCTCATGTAAAACTTGAGATTGTTCAGATTGTTTATTGAGGATTGTTTAATTTTTTTTTTTGTTCCAGTTATATCCCTAGTTACTTATCTATATCCCATAATACCCTTGAAATTTTATTATCTAAACCGCGCTCAATTTTTTCCGAGAACACCCATGCATAGTTCCCTCCACTTTTTTCATCAATGTCTCTACCACGTATCCTCAAAATTTAACACCCTCTCCCTTCAAAATTTCATCATCGTTCTAACATCTTCAACTAGTGTATGTATCCTCAAGTAGAATACATATGTCTATCTCCATTGCTTAAAGAGGGGTAGAATTACTACAAATCGGTGTTCTCTATAACCCTTAAAAACAAGGGTAAAAGTGATATTTCATACAAAAAAGAAATACAACTTTTTGAATGCTAAAATAACTATCCCAAAAACCAAACAAGGTAAACTACATTACATCATTTTCCTTAATTGCATGTATATTACAATGCATGCATTGATTTAAATATCACCAAAACCAAACGACCCCGAAATGTGGGATTTGCAAATCGGTGGACCCCATGGATTTGTATCCCTTAGCAAACAGTGGACTTGTGTCAATTCCATAATGCTTAGGATTTGAGTACCAAATCTATCACCCAAATCCAATAAGCAAACTATAGCAAAATCTCAAACTCCTTGCCAAACCGGCTGGTGACTTAAACCGGTTTCACAAGTATTTTGGTGCTACACTTGAAGACATTTTGGTTCCTTGATGGATGGCCTAAAAGGCTAAAACCCCTTTTGACATGTTCTCTTTTCTTGATTGCTTAAAGAGTAAAGAGTAAAGACCGAGAAAACCCACTGAAGTAAAATAGCGGATAACGACCTCCATCGCCAACTAATGGATGACGGGATCAAACTCCTCAGCCCACCATTCTGCATTGACGAACTTCTCTCCCTTCTTGGTGTGTAAGTAATGACCTCCACACACCTGTCTCTTCTCTTCCTTCTCTTTTTGTCTGTTCAGATTGCTACCAGACTGAATTGTCGGGCCTAAGTTCGGGTCCTTAAACTCTCTTTTTTAAGGAGGATCTTAAAGTGTTGTGATTGGCTGATTCAATTTTAGATAGTTAGAGGGAGTTATTAGTTAATTAGTCATTAAGGGTATTTAGGGAATTGTAAATAATTAAAAAAATAACCCTAACTGTGTATACACCCTTGTTATTTTTTTTCCCTCATCCGCAGCCGAGCCGTTTCTCTTCTCGTCAAAGGACGTTCTCCGGCCATCTGTCCTCTACAGTCGCCGGTCGTCCCTTCTCTCTACCCCTCTTTCCATCTCTTCGAAATCTACCCACCCCAAATCCTATTCTGCCCCTATTCACTCATTCCTCCCGCAGCGACATGTGCATCATCATCTCCGACATTCTTTTGCTGCCTGCGACCCAGGGAAGGAAAGAAAGCAAAGAGTAGAGCTTTAACATACATTCAACCCAACTCCTTTTGCTGCAGGCCATTGTCAAAAAAAAAAAAAATCTTTTGCTGCATGCGAGACTAGGAAAGGAAAGAAAGCAACCTCTGCAAAAGAACCCCACATCTACTAAATTTTTTTTATCAACATCGTTAACAAAGTTTACGTTATATAGATTTCATTAAAAAATGACGAGAAATCATTAATAGTAGTATCATAAAACACTAAATATTAATTTGAAAGTGATAATAATGATGTTATACCATGTGTTAACATTGATAACAATATGATCTATCGAGAAAACACTGTCCATAAATATTGATAACACCTTGAAGCAACGTTATCATGTGTTATTGCATCACTGTAGTGATAATTAACCTTTTATAGTTGATTGTTAACGTGTTTACGTTGATAACCATTTAGCGATGAGCCAAGCATTTTAACATTTTTGTTCTCATTTGGACCGTTTACAACAATGTTGTTAATGTTTTTATATAGGTATTGTTAATAAATTACGCAATGATTACTAAAATTTTCCAAATAAGTATTATCATAATTCTCATCATTATTAAGGAGTGAGTATGAGCATATCCATGTTTGAGAAATAACTATTAATAATATGCCTTATGCTTGGCGATCATTAAATTCGATCGTTATCAATATTTTATTTGTATTTTAAATAGAACACAACTTAGATTTTGATATTTTATTCATATCGTTCTCAGTTTTTTGAGAAGAGAGTTTTTTAATAACATGTATTATGTGTATTACCCATTTTGATGCAATCATGATCAATGATTTTGCTTGTATTTTCAACACCAACACAATTTAGTTGTTATAATGATTAAGATTGTCATGGTCAATATTTTTATGTAAACTCTTGTAATATTAAAACCGTTAACCATAATAGGTGGATCAGTAATAATTCAATTCATTGACGTTAATAATGTAATTGGAAATCGTTGTAAGAGGCTATGATTGACTAGTTATGAACATGACGTGATAACGTGAATCGTTAATAAAGATGTTGTAAATCAATGATAGTGTTATTCAAATCATTAATGATAATATTACATAACTTTAATAATCCACTTATAAGAGTTGATGTCGAAAATGTAAATCTTTAACAAATCGATCTAAAATTATTAATAATCTCAAAGCATTGATTAGTGATGACTCGATATTTGCACATGTTTTCCCCATTGTTTCTTGATCGTTTGAGCTTTAATTATCGCGTCTTTGGCCTATTTTGCGCTAGATTGTGTTCCTTTGCCACATTTCAGGTCCTAGCACATAAAGTGAAGTATAGACGCAAGTTTCAAGTCAATCAGAGATCAATTGAGATTAGGGACAAGAAACTCGGGCATGACCTGAAGAAGAATGGATTTCTACCTCACTTTATGGACAAAGAATCATGCAAGTTTGTCACTAAAAGAAAGAGTACGAGACTACGAGCGTCTGGGATCAAACGGCGACTGATTCGGAGTCCGGACGAGGGAGAAACGAAGCATTGAATATAGGGGAACATGTTCGGCAGTAAAAACACGGGCGCGCCTAAATTAAAACACGGTCGTGCCCATATTTAGGCACGACCGTGTTATGCCCGACGTGCGCGGGCGTGTTTTTAACACGGGGCAAAGCACGGGCGGGCAAAACCATAGGACGGCCGTGCCCTCGACCGTGTTTTGCCCAGAATCGGGTTTTTTAACCCAAATTCGAGCCAAAGGAGGGGGAGAGCTGGGTTTTGGATCCCAAACACCCAAGGGACGAACCAAAGAGAGAGAGGGCGATTTGAGGGCATACTTGGAGTGGAATTGGAGGATTTCTTTGCCTTGGAAGCTCGAGGAACAAGCCCGGACTTGAAGACTGATCATCTGAAGATTCTTACTGCAGTCTCTTTCTTCTCTATGGAGTAACTTCCCTTCACTTAGGTTTTGAGGAACCCTAGCTATGTTTGTTTGATTGGATGATTGTATGAGTACTCTGACTTGATAATCTTGAGTTCATATTCAATCTATGCATGTTTTCATGATTCAATTCTGCTTTAGTCGAGATTATTGATTCTGCTTTGATCTTATGAGAGGGAATACCTGATTAGGTCAATAGAGCACCATAGATTGATAGTAGTGGATCGATTGCTTTAGTCGAGGGTTGATTCACTGCTTTGTATCGATTGAGAACCTCTTTCGATAGAGGGAGTCTAGTTCAGAACGCCTTGATCAGTTGTTCTAGAGAAGGATACGTCCCTCTAGGCAATTGACTCAAGAGGGCCTTGTTCCTTTAGTCGAGACTCAATGTCTAGTCAAGGATTCTCCGCATTGTGAATGAAAGTGAAACAAGTTAGAAATCATCAATCGTTAGTCTGGCTAGTGACTAGGGGGAATCATACCTAAGTGAGTTCCCAACATGTAATTAGATTAACTTTAACTGTAGTTTGCTAGAGTAGTTTTAGTTCTTTCATCTTAATCTGGTTTGCTAAATAATAAACTGAAGCTGAGTAATAGTAACTCTAGAGACCCGTGGATTCGATATTTTTCACTTGAGCCACTATACTACAGTCCCTTCTATTGGTTACACTTGGCCATTGTTAGGTGTTGTGTCGTAGCGAGTCAATTAGTTTTGTACAATCCAACAAAAAAAATGTTTTTAGTTTCGAACGAAATACAATATTGTCTTAAAATGTTCTTTTGCTTGTTTTCAATGAAAACAATTTCGTTATCAACAATTTGAACCTCACTCGGCCATTATTATTAATTTCAGTGTCATTGTCAATCTGTTTAAACATGGACTATTATTAAACATTTGTACCATTAACTTTCACTATTGATCAATATGGATAATTATTAACGTTTCTTTGCCTATTTTTATTAATTTGGCTTCTGTTATCAATATCTTTTAGACATAACCAATGTTTCTTTGTCCATCATCAATTTTTAAAACGTGGGTTATTATTAAATATTGGAATCATTATCAACGTTTCTTTGTCGATCATCACTTTTTTTAACAGTTTGATTGCTTACATCTTATCAATATTTTTAACCTGGCCCATTATAATTATTAACGTTTTTTGTACCATTTTCAATGGCTAAATTGCAAGTTTGGTCACTTGAATTACTTATAAAGTTCACGTTAGCCACCAGAATTACTTAATTCCATCCGTAGTCACTTGAATTAGGTTAATAGTCCAAGTTTGGTCACTGGCCGTTAGTCTCCGTTAACTTTTGCTGATGTGGCGGTCAACTCTAATAGTTGACGGTTAAGTGAGTGACGTTGCAATTAAAAAATAATAAAAAATAATTATTTTTATTTTCCTACTAATTATTATGAATTAAAAAAAGAAAATCTTAATTCTTTTAATTATTATTTTCCACCTCGAGACCTTTCCTCTCCACCGATGCCACTCATAAAACCTCCGATACGCCAGGCCAATTTTCCTCGCCACCGAGATTCGTCTCTCAACCTCGAGTCCGACACCACGGTCTGCTTCCTGGACACCTCTTCGAACGCTGTGTTGGGAAGATTGGACAAGGCGAAGTCAATGCTGACAAAAGTGACGTCGGAAATGGCAACTGACGAGGGAGAGGCATTGTTTGGTGGTCGCCAGCTACAAACAAGGAAGTTGGTCATCAGATATGGACGCCGCCGAACAAGGGAGAAACGACGGCGCGGTGGAGAGGCTGCAACGATGGACGTTTAGGGTCGGGAGAAGACTCTCCTTTTTGAAAATTATTTATGCTGCCCATTGGATCGTGAGATTTATTTCCCTTATTGTAATTTTTATTGTTAATAATTTATTATATTCCATTGTTGCCCGTAGTTAGGTAATTATTAGTAATGATTATCTCTCTCTTCTTTCTATTGGCTTAAATGAGTTTAAGATCCTCCTTAAGATATGGGGTTTAAGGACTGGATCTGACCCGGAATTTTCGGCATTTTCAGTCCTAGTATATCGTGAGTAGTTGAGCTTTACTTGTTTATAGTAACCGCCAGTCGAGATATTGTTGAAACGCAACGCTACGACACTTTTTGGACCATGGCTTGTTTGCAATTGGTCGTCAAGATGAAAGTCTTGAACTTTTCTCCTAGGAATGGGTTAGTGTGGTTACTCAATTTGAGTGGCTACCAAAATCTACACCCTTAATTATTGTTATTTCAGCCTATTTTTAAATTGATGGTAGAGATTAGATTAAGGGTAATTTTGGAAATAAAAGAATACAACATCTAATTATTATCTTTTCAAACATAAATTTATATATATTATAACCAAACCCTACTTCGTTTACCCTATTCACTTGTCCCCTCTCTACTCCTCCACCGCCGGCCGCTACCCTCTACTCATCTCACCTCCCACCGTCGGCAACACCCTCCCACCGCCGGCCACTCCCCTCCCCTCCACTCTCTCTTTCTTGGCCGGCAGCCTAATCCCCTTCCTTCCTCCCCCACAACCCCCCCCCCCCCCCCCCCCCCCCCCCCCTCCTTTGTTCTTCTTCTGCAAGGCAAAAATGACGGATGGGAAAAAGAAAAAAACATTGGGAGAATTCGACTAGAGAACATGATGCTTGTTTTTTTATTGGTACGTAGTTTTTTGCATAGGTGGTGATTTTTTCTTAGTGGTAGTGTTTTTTCGTATTGATATTGCTTTTTTCGCATTGATATTGATTATCATGTAAGCATATTGTTTTTTTTTTTTGAAATGGTAGTGTTCTTTTTCTGTAGTGGTAGTGTTTTTCGCATTAGTATTGTTTTTCTCTTTTTTTTTTTTTGCATTGGTATTGATTATCATGTAATGATATTGATTTGCAAGTATTTGTATTGATTAAATCTGCAATGTTATTGGTGTTTTGTGAAATGGTAGTGTTTTTATTTCTCGAATGGTATGGTGTTTTGTGAAATTGTAGTTTTTTTTATTTCTCGAATGCTATTGGTGTTTTGTGCATTGGTAGTGTTTTTTAATGGATTGATATTGTTTTATTGTTGCAGTGGTATTAGTTCGGCTAAACAAAAACAAGGAAAAGATTGAGAAAAAGAAGGAAGAGAGATCTGACTGGAGATTGTGAAAATGAGAGAAAGAGTGAGAAAATTGTAATTAATTTATATTTGTAATTTTCTAAAATATAATTTATTAAAAAAATAATTAATAATTTTTTTGTCATACCCAAATTGCCCTTAATAACCACGAAGTTTACTATTATAGTAATCACTGTAACCTGTTCTTTTCTCCTGCCCCTCTAAAGGGTAATGAGAGGGGCCGGTGGACTACGCTTTGTTTCGATATTCTGTGTCGATTGAGAACCAATGCTGTAACTTGCCAGAGATCTTACGTACACGGTGTGCTAGCAGCTAGGCGATTGAATTAGGTTAATGGAAATTAGGGGATACTATCTTTTTAATTGTCTCACAGGGTCTTAGGTTTGAAGCGTAACTCTTGAGTGGCTGATATCCTTCTGGGTCCTTTCTCGAACCTGTGCATTTATCGGTGTAGTTTTCCGTATTTACGGTACTTTTCATACCTTAAGCAGAGGATGTTTATTGCTTCATCCGGTTTCAGACTTTCAGTCATTCTAAACTGGTTCTTCTATATGCTTTATCTGCTTCTTGCTTCATATGTTTGTAGAGAACTGGAGTTTCTCTGTTGATGGTGAGTCAGTCTCGAGCAACACTTGCTCCATTCCGATACTGATGTGAAAGTTGCCTTCTGCATTAGCGAGATTACGAGGATAGCAGCACCTCATGCACCTTAGGATGATGCCCAGATGAGGGTCCGTTTTAACTTCCAATGTTGCCCTTCCTTTGTTAGTGGTTTTTCCCCGTTCCCGTTCCCTATCTTTAATCTCTTTTTTCTTGGTTGTAGGAAACATTACCTCTGATTGTAGCTGTATTTCGTAAGCTTTCACACACATCCAGCTGCTGTTATGCAAATGCAGCAGCCATCCTTCCTTCCATTGCAGTGACAAGGGCAATTGCGGTGATGATGGACCTTGATGCAATGCCTTAATTACTGAAATGTTCCACATTTTTCTTGAAACCACTAGGTAAATGGCCTCTTTGTTAGTATCCTTTCATCATTTCCAGCTGCTCTTGAATTCATGTTTCTGTCACAAGCTGAATGCTTCCACTTGTACTTTGAGTTTCTCTTCACAGTTTAAAGCATTATTATTATGTGCAAATATATACACAACGGGTGGTTGACATTTTCAAAATGTTCAGGGTCAAACAAGTCACATGCTTTAATTGCTCCAATTGTGCAAATAATGAGTGTTGTCTTGTAGGAAAGCGATGAAATCTCAAAGGAGAATGTGTTCCCCTTTTATCCAGTGTGAGAAAAGAGAATCATGTATTATTTCTCTCATGTAGAGCCACTCACCTTTGGTTACATTTTCTTTCTCTGATGCATACTAGAAGTCACACCCTTTTCTCCATTTTCAGAATATATCATCAGACTCCTGGAAGCTGGGGAAGGAAGTGATCAGAAACAGTGATGAAGGATTCGACCTTATATTGTTAAGTGGGTGTACAGTTTAGGAGTTCCAGACCACTACAGTAAAATTGTTGGTTCTATTTTCCAGAGTGCTTCTGATCTTAGACCGTGTTCTGGTATCCGGGACAGCCTGTAAGTTTTCTTGGCATCTCCAGAGGCTGAGGCCTCTGCTGAATGTATGATGTGGCACCCATTTGGAGTTTGCATCGGTTATATTTGTTGGCTCGTGATCAATACATAAAAGGATCGAATTCCTTGTATCGTTATGTTATCATAAGGTCGATTTGGAATACAGAGGTGAATGTTGTGGCTCTTAACTCATAAATGGCGGGCTCATCTGGAAATCAAATTATAGACAACCTTCTGGCTAACAGCCTCTGATTTAACATTCCAACTACTAATGGCTTATAGGCAACTTAATGATCTTTGGTTTGCTTTTTGATGTCAAACGTTGTAGTTAAATAAGTATAAAAGTCCAACCAGATAACAGAAGAGTGCACTGTCAAGTAAACTAGCACTTTCAGCTTCTGAACATAGCTAGCTCTGTGGAGCATCACTTTCCTGCTTCTTAACATATGTTTCTCCTCCTATTGGTTATTTAGGCAGATTGACAGTGAATGCCTAGCTACTCAGTTGTTAGAGTTAATGGGCAGGTATAGAACAGTCTCAAGAACTGATTGCTACTTGGAAGCTGGTGACAAGGTAGGTAGGTCGTCATACTCGTACCAAATGCTCTTCTATAATCCTCTTCCGTTTTACATCCTCCGCTTCTTTCTTGCAGTTGTGATGAATTTTACTTTGTCATTCTGGCCATGGAAGTATCTGTTTATGCTTCATTGAAATGCCATGACAGTTGCATCCTCTACTAATTCATGTAGCATTAGAGTTACTTAGACTGATATTTACATTTTCTTTTTGTTGCATGGGCCATTGAATTAGGAATACTAGTTATTGTCAACTTCAATTGATTTAGTGTCCATAGTAAAGATCCGTTCAATAAAAGCTCTGTTTAGTTTTGTTATTTCCTGTTGTTGACACTATTTCAATCGGAGTATGTCAAGCTATTCCAGAGCCTAACTGGATTTTTGGTAATAGGTGATGCAGAATGGCAGTTGATTTTCTTGTAGTACCCAAATATAGTGGTAAATCAGACTTTTTAGATCTGCAGTTGCCCTTCCTGTTATTAAATATCATTCGTGTGAAATAATAAATTCAGCATGATAACACACTTATCAAAAACAACATGCTAACAGGGACAATCAACAAGATTCCTCTGTCCTGGTTCCTCTTAAAGCGTAAAAAAATTTCTGCCTTATTGCTCTTCTGTGGACCAAAAGGCCAAGACTCCTGTTTTCTAACCTTTGCACAGGAAATTAAACCAAGCTTATTTTACTTTGCAGGTATGGCCCTCGAGATGTATGGTGAAACTCTAACCAAACTGCAAATCTATGGAGCAGCGGTTATAAGATAAAGCAGGAGGAGAACCAATAGATAGACTTCCTCTCACACGTAGGGAACATCATATTAACACCAAGTGGGCTGGCATTCACAGACGATTTCCAGCAGGGAAGCTCCAACCGATTGTGAAGGGTACTTACTGACAGTCCTCCGTGATGCTGCAGCGCTGATGGTGATAAAAGGAGCGAATATTGAGGAAGTCATGGTGGCCAGAGCTTGTGGCAGTTCATAAGTGTATGGGGGATGCTGAGAGGGGAATTAGTCCTATGAAACTTGTGACGAAGAGGATTGAAGATCAGAAGCAGTTCTGGCTTAGGCAGATGGACGAGCGAGCTTGTCTAGTAGCCGTGATTGAAGTAGAGTAGACTGCAGAGTTGAGCTGAATTAGTGTAGTATAACTGGCAATTGCGTGCATGCACACATCATGCATATGTCGGGCTTTGAAATTAATTCTTATACGTTGTGGCATTACTGTCGATCTGACTTAAAGCTTACTAGGATGCTGCTTCGGTATTGGTAACCTGTAAGGCTAGGTTTTTACTCATGCGTTGCATTCTGCTAGAACCAGACTCGATTCTAGCAATAGAGTTAGTTTTCCAATGGCGGATGTGCCTGTCTGCCTGCCAGTCCACCTCTGTAGCCTTCTCTGCAGTACTGGGCTGGCCGACAAGTTGCCCGAGACTGATTGTTTCGATGAAGGGAAGAGGTATGGTTCTCAAAATTATGTGTGTTTGCAAGGTTGGTGTTCAATGCATTTTAAGCTAGCTGATTGTGCTGGTGCTGGTTCGGTAGTACTGGAAGGGTGAAACAATGGAAATAAATATTATTGATCAGACACTCTTAAATGGCAGTACTGGGGTTTAATTACAGGCTCACCGGAAAAGTACTTGTAGCATCCATTACAACACTTGGGATATATCGACATGTAAATTGATGAGATCCGAGAAAGAAAGAAAGAAAAGAACAGGGGAGTGGACTGGACTGACTACATTGTTTGCTTAATTAGCTAGCAAGAACACGTTTCAGCCTCACTCCTGGTTGATAGAAGGGATTTCCATTCACTAAATTGGTAGATTGATAGTTTGATACGAATGAAGGATCGAGGATCCAGTATGTAATGGTTGTTGTGTGATGTGTTGGCGTTGTCAAGAAGACTGGATTTTGACGGGTTCCTCCTGCTGTTTGGCGGCCGGAAGAGCAAGGTGACCCTTCTCCTGGAGGGAAGTCACGGTTTCGTAGAGGCACTGCTTCGCCGGCGTGAACTCCAGCCCAATGTCCTTGAGCTTTTGGCACGAGAACTTGTACGGCTTCACTCTTGGGTTCTTCTCATCCGAACACCTGCACCATTTTCACTTCTTGTTTTAGTACCAAAATTCTGTTCCATGCAATCTACCACATTCTATGCAGTGTTCAAAGATGGACATAACTCCATCTCCTATCTCCATTACAATACATAACAACATGCGTGCCTACCACGTCATTATTGCGTGGGAAACAATTATTATTATTATTAGTATTATTATTATATGGAAAAAGAAGAGTAAAAGAAGTGTACCAAACCAGTCACCAATGGTGGGGGGACCTAAAACTAAAGGGATCCATCAACATAGCAAGGACAGCTAAAGGAGCAAATCCATCTTATTTAGGGTATATTAGTGGGTTTGTGGGGTTGGTGGAAAAGACTAAAGAGGGGAGTTGGTGGGAGACTGAGACCATCCTTGCTCTTGGCTCCACTACTTTTTTTTTCCCCCATAAATTATCTCATGTCACACAGTAAACCACATCTTCATCTCTATTATCAATTGAAACAAATTCTACGAAGCAAACAAGTCCAAGTCATTGTTAAAGGTGCAACAACCACGTTTAGTCCTCTTGCTATGCGCTAGCCAGGACAAGACAAGACAATGGTTCAGGTACTTTATGATTGCAATAAAAGATTGAAACTTGTCTGACGATATCTGATTAGAGATCTTCAGCCCATAACCTTTTAATTATGAATTAATTGATTCATGGTGCTTGGCCAGCTACTTACCTACTAATTTAAAAACATTTCTTAACAACCATCATTACATTGATGGCAATTATTTCTATTGAAGGTGATTACACAGAACAAGCTAAACTAATAGAAAGCAAAACTAAATAAAATCGCCCATATCTAAAGTTCAGATTTAGATAAAGGATTGTTGAAACTAGCAAGAAAGGGCAAGATACGGGGGAAATGGTAGGGACGAACTAAAAGTGATTAAACTTACTTGGTGGGGACAGGGTATTCGGGGAACAACTTGGCGAGGATCTCAACAACCTCGCCGCGGTGGAGCACGCTCTCGGCGCAGAGGTACCGGCCGGCGGCGGCCGGGTTCTCGAAGACCAGAATGTGGGCCAGTGCGACGTCCTTGACGTGGACATAGGCTTGAACCGAGTTGGCGTAGGTCTTGGCCGAACCGGTCAGGTACTTGAGGATGTGGATGATGCTCGCGTTAATGGTGGATTGCAGCAACGGGCCCAGTACCAGAACCGGGTTCACCGCCACCACGTCCACCCCTTTCTCCTCCGCCATCTCCCACGCCGCCTGCTCCGCCACCGTCTTCCCGTAGCAGTACCAGTTCTGCATCAATTCAATCGTAGAATCCCTCCCACAATCAGCACCACATCCATCTTTGACTCTCCATTTTATCACCGTTGACTCATCAGGTCAAACTAATTGCGGCGGATTAAAAATTTGCACTTAATTAGGAAAAGAGTATTAGAGAGAAGAGATGAATTTGGTCACCTTGGTGTTCTTGCAGAACTCCAGGTCGCTCCAACAAGATTCGTCGACCACCGTGTCGGGGCTCCGGTTCGGGTCCATGTAGACGGCGCCGATGGATGAGGTAAACACAACCCGCCTCACTTTGGCTTCCGCCGCTGCGTTAATTACATACTTAGTCCCGTCCACCGCCGGCTCCACCATTTGTTCCTGTTGTTGTTCCAAGTACAGTAGAAGTAATTGATTAATACCACTCCCAATCAATTTTTTAAACACTAATCACCGTTACTTCATAGATTAACAAGGGGTAGGTGGGCCCCTCCACTTATAAAAATAATTATCTACTCATTTTTTTTATCCAAAATTCCTAATGGTAAGAAGCAACGGTCCACCACTACCTTCATATTTCCAATGGTTCATCGCCATGTTCAAGAAAAAAAAATGATATTTTAATCTGCAATCACATCTACCGATAGAACTCCTTACATATATGTTTTACGCAATTCATTTAATATTAATTTCCATGTGTTTAGACGGCAAACCGTGTCTTAATCTTACTAGTAGTCTTTTGATTAATTGGGATCTGACGAAATTAGTATTTTGTAAATGTAATCACCGATCATTAGGAAACCTAATAAGTAGAGGTTTCCCCGAAACAGTGGTGTTTCCATTTCAATCTCAATTTCATTTTTCAATTCTAAGCATCTTTTCTCAGCAACCAAACAGGAAATCCGTATTTTGAGTAGAGAGAGAGAGAGAGGGAGAAGCAGCGTACTGGATCATCGGTGACGGGAGAAGCAGTGTGGAAAACGCCTTGGCAACCGCTAATGGCTTCACGGAGGCTCTGGTAATCCAGAAGATCGGCCTTGCATAGAGTCAGCCGCTCGTCAGCTCCTTCTAGAGCTCTCAAGTGAGCGTTTTTCGGATCATCTGCGTGTACGCGATTAACCAAATCAGAAAACAGAGAGCAATCCAAGTGAAATCAATGAAACAAATCGATCTACAACTTCTCAAAAAAGGAGAATGCAACAACTGAAATTGAAAACGAGAATGGAAAAGTAAATTAGCTAGACCTGGATTCCGGACAGTTCCTTTGACGGAGTAGCCTCTGTCAAGAAGAAGCTTAACCATCCAGGAGGCGATGAATCCGCCGGCGCCGGTGACGCAGACGGTCTGGCCGTTACCGGGGAGGGATGAGCTGTCGGCCGGCATGATGGTTTGTGTGGCTCCGCTTTATCTTTTTTCGCGCACCGTCTTGAGGCGAGAGGGAAAAGGTGGGAGATGAGATATGGAGGAAAAAAGTTGGGGGGGTTTTGGAACGTGGAGTGAGTGGGTTGGAGTTGGTCGCCCGTATTTATAAGTTAAGGAATTGTGGGGAGCGCGTGGGTTTCACCCTCACCTACCGCCGGTGAATAATCGTGGGCCGGATACCCAACAGGCCCACGGTAAGAATATACGTTACAGAATACAGACTACAGTCCCCTATTTTCTTTATTCAGATTGTACTTACTTGGTCACATTAATAAAATGATACATGTTATTTATTAAAAAAAGCTTTTGTATATTAACTAATAATAAATATAAGTATATAACCGATCTTTGGTCAAAATGGGGAAAAAGAACTAAAAATCTTCCAAACTTAATTGACTCAACCAAAGCTGTGCTTCTATGGGGCAAGAAGATTAATTGTATTGCTTTAAACGTGATTTGGCCGGCTAGTCGGGTTGTTAGTGGGAAAGCAACTATTCTAACCAGCAGATTAATCCTTCTCAATTGAAATGAGAGCCTAAAACAGCTAAACATGTCAAATTAGACGCATCAGCTGTGGAACTAATAGATTAGGGTAAGCTAATCAGAAACAATGGGATGCAATTTGACATATATAAGAATGACAGGAACAGCTTCGCAGTACATAAAGACAGAAAAAGCTACTTAATAATTAATATATGTAATTTGACATTTTTTTCTAGTGTTCGGTTTTCCTAATCAAGAGGTATATACGTTGTACAAGGATTGAGAAATTAATCAAATTGTTATTACAGTCATCGGTATTTAGTGGTTAATTATTAGTTTGGTAACCTCACGTTTCCTTTTCTTTTGTATTATTATTTACCGCCCTGTCATGAATTCAACTGTCAACCGAAAAAAGAAGAGGGGGTTGGTCGTTCAAACTTCAAAGTCCAGGGCCACTCGACTTTGACCCAGCAGTGGTTAAACTTGGACCAATAACCAGGCTGGAGCAGCAGCAGCTTCCCTACATGCTCTTCCCTTCACCCCTCCCTTATCTTATCTATCTCTCAACTTGGTTTCTACCTAAGGTTGTTAATCCGTGGGTTGACCCGAACCCGGTTGAGTTAGTGGGTCAAGAGTTAATGGGTCACCCGGTTTAGCCCGGAAATATGGAAAGCGTCATTATGTTGTACTTATCCTGATAAATTATATCAAATCTTATCTAACATATGAGTTATAACATATAATATTACACCAAAATAACATTTCGTACTTAGATTCAACATATAGTGAAAATTCACACACACTTATATAACATTAATATTCAAATGTTCAACTTAGGATTCCAAAGATTGAGTTAGGCGAAAAGAAAGATCGGAAAATAGGCGCATTTCGCAAAACAAAGAAAAAAATGACACAACCGGATGCGTGCGGCCCATTTTTCTCACCGAATCAGGGTCAACGTGGGTCAACCCGCCTACCTCATTTTCCGTTCGACTATGTTGCAAGGGGAAAATATCCAGGTAACAAAAAAACCTCTACCACCAACTCCCTGTCATAATCAAAAATCAGTCTTCATCTTCACTCCAACTTCCAAGTCTCTCATATCCAAACTGCCGTGACCGTATGCTCCAAGCAGCTCGCACGGTGATGAAATCGCGGTGTAGAATCCCAATAGCTCGGACAGGGGAGGAAATCACGGCGAATTGATTGTAGTTACCGGGACTCCGACTAGCTCAGTCAAGCCGTACGTCGTTAGTCCTTTCTGGTAAGCGCATTTCTCACACAACAGTGGCAATAGCCTAGCTAATAGAAGAACCACAGAAAAATATATATCCAAGCTCTGACGAGATCTGGATTTGCAAATATGGATTGCACAGAACTGGAAATTTGAGCCAAATCTCAAACTGACCCAAAATGTATTGCTCAAATTTAGTGGGCGACCGGCGAGGCCATGGGTTACCGGCGATATTGCAATAGGGTCTGGTTCCGACATTCTATGTAGGAATGGCGATGTGCAGGTTCGGGGCGGGTATCTCGATATCCATACCCGTCTCATGGCAGGTCGCATAATTTATTACGGGACTCGGGTCGGGGCAGGTCGACTCAATGGGTATGTAATTTATATAAAAAAACATTAGAAATATTAGTTATTTTCATTAAAAGACCAAGAAAGAAACCATAATATGATAAAATCTAGTTAAATTATTGAAGAAATTGAGGTTTTCATTTAATTACAACTTTATTATAGCTAAAATACAATGTAATAAGACTAGAATACCAAGTAATTTGACTAAGATTATATGTAAGTTAGGCAAGAACGGGTCGAGAATGGAGCAGATATTGACAGGTCGGGTCGATGAGAGATACACATGTCCGCCTCGCTCTGCCTACGAAGTGGGTCTGACCCGCTCCAAAACAGGCCAAACAGGTAGGGTAAATCAGGTCAGGTCGAAATTGTCATCCCTAATTCTATGGGATGTTAGTTAGTTATAAAAAAGAAAAACAAAAACAAATACCGAGCTAGAGATATATTAGGAAAGTCAATGGTATGATAGTAAAAAAGACCCGTGACCTTGATGAAGTAGATAGTTTACTACCAGCAAAAGACAAATATGTTGTGAATGAGGAGTATAGTAATTGTATAGGTGTTAGAAAAATTTCTAAGGGTGCTTTTTGAATGAGTATTTTAAATGTAAGATATTTGAAATATAAGTATTCAAAATGTATGAATTTGAAATACATGTAATTCAAATATGTTGTTTGGATACTCATTTGTAATTTGTTTGTATTTTAAATTTTGTTATTTTTTTAATTTTGAATTTTCTGGTTACTTACTACAAATTTTGGTAAATTACAGTTTGGTACCCAAATCTATTTTTCTTATAATTTAGTATCTAAATTTTTAAAATTTAACAAAAAGGTCCAGAAATTTTGATGGTAAATTTACATTTTGGTACCTTCATATGTTCTGCCTTACACTAAAGTACCTAAACTTTAAATATTTTACAAATGGGTCCAATCTTTTGTTAGGAGGTATTTCAAATCACTAGTTGTGGAAATGTATTTAAAGTTGACAAGTAATACTCTATACATGTATTTGGAAATCATCCCATGAATTTGGTACAAATCCAAATACCAAATGTAATTAATATCCAAACACACGATTTGCCATTTAGAAATCCAAATCAGAAATATCAAATTCAAATCATTCTATCCAAACACACCCTAAAAGAACAATGGTTAAATTTCTTTACTTGTAATTTAGGATGAAAGTATCATAAAATTAAAATACAAAACAAGAACTATCATGAATCATGATACATATAACTTAATACGCAGGCTAAGCACGCTGGAGGGATTAGGATTGAAGCTTTGAACACTTCAACCCCTTGTTTTAATTAGTTTAAGTAGTTTGCCTCTACAATAGGATAACGAGAATTATAATTAAGGGCACATGCATACATGCTGCATAACACAAAATCCTTAACCATATATATATGTCTAAAACAAGCAAAACCCCTTTTCCCCGCATTAAGCCACTCCCAACTTCCTCATCAATAATGGCGTCAAACTCAACTCTTTCTCTTTTACATTCTATCTATCTATGGCAGCTACATATCTACAAAAATACTTCAATCGAAATGGGCTTGACTGAGTCTCAAAAGGCAAGCCAGGAAAGAAAAACCAGTACTCTCTTTTGCACTCTTCTGTCTAGACATCTTTACTTACTAACCCAAAATTTCTCTCTTTCACGCCTAACCATCCGATGCTGGAATGCACATCACGTTGTCTGCTTCTTGCTGCTGTTTAGCTGCTTCTGGAGCTGCTGCCGCCACCACTACTAGCCCCTGGACTTTCTCTTCCGCAACCGCGTCTTGTGTCCAACACGATGGTGCTTCCTTGACAGTATGAATTGTATTCTCGTCGCATTCAAGTAGCTCCCATCTTTCCTTCCTCAAGTTCAGAATCTCCTTATCACCATCCACATACAAAACCTATAACATTGGACAAAGGAATATGAGCTGAACAGAATGGTGGGTGGTGAAAGAACCCATCTAGAACCCACAGAAAACGTAAACCAGTAGCTAGTAGTCACCAACCAGGTGCCTCTGGCGACTTGGATCATAGCTGTGCACTACTCCTTCATAAAACCTGCAGAAGCCAAGGCAACAAAATATACAAAGCTGTATCAGAAAAATCCTAGTTTAGCATGTTATATGTGAGAGTGAGACCATTTTTGTTTTCTTATTACAATTATCACTCACCTTCGATCTTGTGGCCACCATACTCGGATGCTTTTACCAATCAGTCCCTCGACTAGACCGTCAGGGGCTCGAGTAGCCTGCATTAATAACCATCTCTTGATTCAAAAGCATTTCAAAATGTTCAAACTAAAGAAAGGAATATCTCAGAAGCTAGCATTAGAGCTTATATATAGTTCGTACCCACCTTATCTATTCGAGTGCGTTTCCTCTTCTGGTTGGTTTCAGGGGTGCTAAGAACAGTTGTCTCGTTCTTCCTTGGCCTGCCACGAGGCCTTTTTTCACTTTGAATCTTTGCCTGCTGATCATAACCTTCTTCAGATTTCATTAAAGACTTTGGCTTTCTACCCCGTTTCCTTGGAATACAAGTTTGCCCACTATCCAACTTGACATCAGACCCACCATTGTTAACTTGTCCACCAGTCACCTGCCAAATACATGCATTATGATGTGAGAATAAAAAAAAATTGAAGATTGATACAACTGGTTGTAGCAGAGCAAGCATACCAAACCATTTATGAGATGATTGTGCTGAGGTGGGTGGGCCCTATCTTGGCAGATATCAGCTACTATTGAGGCATAATCATCCAAAGCTATGCCTAGAGACTGCACAGCTTCCTTGAGACGAGTTTTAAGTTTAGCAGCACAATTAGTCATAACTTTTTCGCCAAGCTTCCACTCATAAGGATATATACTCTGTAAACCATAGTATAAGACGGCAATCATGCTCATAAAACCAATTCTATGTGTGATAATCAGAATCCTGCTAAGAGGAAAGAAAGGGGGGGAAAAACCAAGAACCACCACCAAAGAGACATGCCTGATTGTCCTTTCTTATGCTAGCTAGTAGAGGAGTGAGAATAGCCAGAGATATCTCCTCACTTTCATCTATCACCAGGGTCATAACGGTTTCCATAGCCAATAGTATATCAGGTGAATGGTTGGACCTTATTATTCACAAAAAATAAAGCATATGTCAGTGATTGCCGATGAAAAATGGGATGTAATAAGTGAAAAAATCAATCTTTCTTTCTAACACCACCAACTACCGAAGAAGAGAATGATCATCCAAAGAACAATATTATCAAGAACTAGTTCATCCCAATGAGGCAATGACCCAAGTGGTCAAGCTGTTGAGAAGAGCTTATGTATGAATATTATATCATCCCTTACACATTCCCTTAAACAAAAGCCAACTCATATGCCTAACCCAACAAACTTTGCTCCTGAGTCAACTGCTAATACAGAGAGTCGCAAGGATTTAAAAACGAGACGTCTCGATTAAAAGTTCTGATACCATGTCAAAAACCAGTTTATCCCAATAATCTCAGTTATTGAGAGAGACTTATATCGTCCCATACAATTCATTCAAGAAAATAAATTGCGTCATCCAAGAAACGATACTACAGAAGAGCAAGTCAAGTAATCTATATGACGGAAAGAGGTTACTCTGAACATTAGGTTGTAGTTTAAGAAATGAATAACTGGCTGAAGGTTCTTTATATTCACAACTGTTGTCAATTTGAGAACATGACAAAGAAGTGGGCATGTGAAGAAGAAATTTCTACCTTACAATTGTCAGGTAGTGTTGGAACATATCCAGAATCAGTTGATCCACCCCTAAGTCCAGCACTACCAAGCATGATCTGACCATTGCAGCAGTGTTAAGAATTGAAACTGCCTTCTTATAATAGGGACCTGGTGGATGAGTTAAGTGCTGAAAAGCTTCAACAATTAACTGAAACATTTCCTGTAACAGATCAATTGCATAATGTGAAAGCTCTGTCTTCGATCTATCAGTTTAAAGAAAATGCATCGACTATGCAACCTTGCACTGTAATGTCCATAAAAATGGATTGTTGAGTTATCTAAATGCTAAAAGTTTGGTACCTTCATGGGTTCATCACTGTAAGGAGCACCAGGTGCTGTGATTCTTGTGATCTCGCTAAAGCAAGACGCAAGTGAAACCCTCACATCCGTATTTGAGTGCCTTAAGAGAGCATTTGAGATCAAAGACTTAAAGATAGGTAAGAGTGCATCTCGAATGCGCCTTGAAGGGGCTTGCTCAACTTTTATGAGCAAACGCTCAAGACTCTGAAGAAAACATTAAAAAGAAAACACAGTCAAGTCACTGTGTCATATGGCCATGACACTACTGTAAGGAGTGAAATCCGAAATCTTTCTTGCAAGGAAAGATAAATGCAATATGGGCAAGTTGAGCAGGTCAGCGCAATGTCATAAAAGTAACTGGCAAAGTCTAGTCACTGGCATGTGCATTCTATATACATTCTGATCTATCCTAGTCTTTGTCAACAGCTGGTTGATCCCAATAACTCGAATTGTTGAGAGAGGTTTAATTATGTATCATACATTCGCAATTATAGATCATATACCGTTTACTAACACACTCCCTCAAAACAAAGCCAACTCAGAAGGGTTTGAAGTTTGCACAGATCCGGAAACAATGTGATTAACAGAACAGATAAGGATCGTCCGGATTCAAACAGAAGACCTCTCGGTCACAGAAGGCTCTGATACCGTGTCAAAAACCAGTTGACTCCAATAACTCGAGTTGTTGAAAAAGGTTCAATTATGGATCATATACTGTTTACCAACAGTCTTCACTTAAATTTGTTCATTCCAACTCATTCAGAAAGACCATTTGTTACTGTTTTCCTTGCAAGGAACAATTTGTTGCTGTTACCATCCCGAAGAAGGTGAAAACAATCTGGAACAAAACCACTTAAAGAAGTGCCAACAAATTAAAAAAGTCATTAAACAAAATTCCAAGCGAGTACATTGACTCGAGTAAACTACAGCACAAAAATTGCAGAGCATGAGATTAAGACGACAAATTCTTCTCCAAACAGTCGCATCGATTCAGTAGTATAATAAGTTAACAGAGTACCAAATGCAGCATTCAAGGTGACAATGGAAGTTAAAACACTCAATCATGCTAAATAAAGGGGGCGTACGTACGTCAAGCAGAGAAAGGATATCATGGTGGGACAAAGAAGGGCGTTGAAGCAAAATTCCAAGCTCCTTAAGCTTCTTCTCAATTTCAGTCTCAGAGACGGCCATTTCCAAGAACACTATGGTAGCGCCCTAACAGAAATAAGCACACCCTGGAAAACAGAGAAACGAACCCCACAAATTTCTCAACTCGCACTACCGTTTTCCAGAAGTTGAGCCGAAAAACCCACGTTTCATACCCACCAGGAGGAGACGAATCTGTTTTTTCTTTTTCTTCCCGGAGCCGGCAACAAAGTCAGTGATTCAAGCGCGTTACTTTAGTGGGTCTATATTCCAGAAACGTCGCCGGAAAGAAGCTGCAGGGACCAAAGCTGAATGGCAGATATGCCTCAGGTTAAGGCAGCATTGTTGGTTTGGGGCGAAATGCGAATGGCTACGCCAGAGTAAAATCCCTTTTCCGCTGTTTTCTTTCCCTGGTCTTGGATTGTGGGTTTGAATTTGATTCAGCCTTTTTTTTTTATCTTTCATTCTTCCTATTTTGGTTAATGGCCTCTGGTTTGCTTGCCTGCCGGCGTTCCATTGGCGTGTCAGATTTCCGTTTTTGGCCAGAGACAGTAAATCAGTAATATGTGTGTGGGTAGTACAGCTGTACTGGACACTCTCGGCAAGGAAGCTAAGCTAATATCGGAGTCTTTTTCGGATTTCCAGTTACCCTCCGATATGAATTCATGCAACGTCAGGTGCCACCTCAAAAGTTGCTTCTGGGTCCTGGGGACAAAATGGACTTTTCTCATCGTGCAAAATGGGAGTTTGGAGGACTAATTTTATTTGTTGTCACACTCCTTTGTAAGTCGATAAGACGGATAATTTGTATGGTAAGATCAACCTACAATTTGTTTCGGAATTCTGCGCGACAATCGTGCTTTTTTGTGGTCAAGTACTTTGAAAGTTTGCAAAATTTCAAGAAGTAATTCTGAGTTTCAGATAAATTGCCCTGAAATTTCTGAAAAACCCTAAAACGGTTACCAATTCAAATTTCTCGACAAAAAACATTTTAGAAATTAAGTTTTTCACGGATTGTAAAACCGTATCAGAAAGTAAGTGAATCCCTTGTCTTAAAACTCTCTACCATTCCAGCTATTCATACAGAAGGAAAAGGTCACCTCTTTCCTCGAACAACCATCATTTTTACTTCAAAAAATCCTGGAAAAAAAAAAACAATACCAGAATTCGTGTGTGAAGTGCGTGCTCGAATAATGAGAGGCATAGGTAGAAAGAACAGTAGCTGTAACGGAGGAAGTATACGGGGAGGGAAATATTAGATAGTGAAATTTTCCAGAAGAGGAGACTAAAGCAAAAGAAAAAATGAGGCCAATCTCCATTCATCCTGCGAGCTATGACAAGGTTTCCTACATGCTAATTTGTGTGACTTTATATGCTGTTGAACGATATTGAATGCTTCACTCTCTTCACCGTAATCCTGCAGACACGAAAGCAGCAACGACTCAAGTTGAATCCGGAAACAATCGAGAAGCTGGTGACATGAAAGCAGCGAAACTAAACACTTTACCTTCACAACTACACAAGAGCACCCAACAACCTTCCTCGCATTGCCTTCTGAATCGATTTTGCAGAGCTGCAACAAGATACCCTCTAATCATATAAGTTGTCCCCAACAGGTGTTGAGGAAATATTGATGAGGAGGAGAACAATAATCATAGCATTAGTATTGCTAAGGACATACTCCGGCCCATTCACCGAGGGTCTTAACATTGGGAACGCTTAACAATGCGACTCCATAGTCAGCACAAAGTGCCTTGACGAGCTTGACATAGTCAGCCTGGTTACAGTCTTCAGCTACTACTCAAAGCTGAGCAGTGAGCAGCATGCTTTTCAATGTATTTTGCACCTTTATGAATTCCACGTGCAAGCCCCCCATGAGCCAAAGACTTCCTGAGCACTAGCTGCAGTGCTTCCATCAAGTCCATGGGCTCACCAGGAGCTTGTTGTGAGGTGTTGTCTCAACTGCAGCGACGGGAGCTTCTTCGCTGCAAGAAACAAAATTTTAAAACTGATAAACAGTCTATGATTACACACCATCTTCGTCCACAATAAAATTTCAAGGTGAAATTGAAACTACCATCTTTCTTGTTCAGTAATTACTCACCCTGACATTTTTGCTTTGGTGATGTATATAACTATTCTCCAACCTGAGAAGCAAAGAGAAGACGTTGTAAGTTTCAAGCAACGAAGCACCTGCAAATTGTAAGAGTATGGTATAAGATCCAGCAGAACCTTCTCCCAACAACTCGAGTTATTGGGAGCAACTGGTTCTTGACATGATATCAGAGCCTAGAACCGAAAGGTCATTTGTTCAAATCTCCACGACTCCCAATATTAACCATTGCTTAAAGCACAAGGTATAGTGGGTCTGTGCAAACAACTCGACGTATTGGGAGCAACTGGTTCTTGACACAAATTACCATAGATGTTGTATTCTTCATTTTCAGCCGATCACAGTATCAGCATGGCTTTAATTAACACGGCATACTTGATTGCTCAGTTTACACAAAACAAAATGCTCAGTTATAGCGAGAGCAGAACACCTTTATCAGTAAAGAAAATTTCCTACGACTGATCGATTCATCGAACTCATTCTTCCCTTCAGATGCAAAAAGGTTAGACCAATGGCTTACAAACATCCTCTACTACCATTTTGCATGATGGATCGTAGTTTCAGAAATGCCAACATGAAAGCACCTTACCGAAATCGATCCGTAGCAATATGCAATCAGTTAAAGAAGGGATTTGGGCAATTCAGCAGTAGTTCATTTGGATTCATAGATAGTGGACCACTTGGGGAACAAACAACAAAGCAACATTTGACGAGTTCAACAACTTAGTAGGATGAGTTCACCACAGACCAAAATCAACCCGCCCATCTACCTGAATCATCTTACCCACAGCAATACCAGAAATTTGCAAGGGAAACAGAAATTAAGAGTCTAAAAATGTCAATGCCTCCGGTCAGAATGTGGCAGAGTAGCTGAAGAATGCAGGAGGCTGAGAAGGAGAACTTACGGAAAAGGAGCGGAGTGGATGAAATGGTGGCGGGAGACAACCAGCTGGTTGCCGTTGGGTGGGTCAATGGTGGAGCAAGATGAAGAACAGAGGAATTATGATTTTTGAGGATTGAAGAACCCTAAACCCCCTTTTTCTTAATTAGTTAATTCCCTGCAGGATTGCGTTAATTTTTTAGCGAGGTAAAATTGGGCTTTTGGTGCTTCGTTCCGGATGAAGATGATCGGGCTTGCCATCTTTTGTAAAATTTCACTAGGCCCATGGGCTATAGCTAACTATCAACATATATATATATATATATATATATATTATTAAAGGTGAAAGCCGAAACCCGTTTATTCATTTCAAATTTCCTACATCCAGAGTGACAGTAGAATGACATTTTTGTCTTCACAGCTACTTATTTCGTTCTTATTTATTCATAAAAATATATACATATGGGAATTTGAACAATGACCACTTTGAGAGAGAAGGGTTACAACCAATCACACTATATATATTTGTTGTATCTTTTAAAAGAAAAACATACACAAACCTAAAATCTCGAAAATCATAAGACTTTTTCAGCGGTTAACTAGAAACTAAATCTCTCATAAGTACTTATTTGGTGATTTGATACTTCGACTTTCATATTTTTTATTATTTTAATTGTATTTTAATACTTAATTTATATTTCAGTGTATATTGTAAACAGAGGATAACTTTAAAATTGCAACCCATATATCATTTGGTTGAATATTGCATATAAAATTAGAGTATTAAATAGGTCGAAGCAATGTCAAAATTTTATATTAGTATTAATTTTTAGAATTAACTATGAAGAAATCATATCCTTATGCCGACTATATGGGACTGGGTTTTTTAACGTTTTAGCTGGGTTAACTGCTAAAATTTCGAAGTAGGATGGGGGATCGAATCCTCATGATGATCCGTAGGAGTTGGTGGATGAGGAGGTTGTAGCCTCTCAAAATCATGAGGGACAGCAGCAGGTCATCGATTCAGAGGATGATCAATCGAATGACGAGCACCTTCCGTTCGAGATCAAGAGGTCACCAGGTGGAGTCTCCATGGAGACTCGCAAAGGCTTGACTAGACGTGTTCACCGCGTGGTTGAGGCTTTTGAAGGTGGGTTGGTCTTTGCTCAAGCGGAGGAGATACCTCTCGATGGGCCTCTCTCGACTCTCAATGAATATGGGACTAATCTCATGGACCCACCAGTGGAGACTCGGAAGCGTGTGCTCGAGGAGTTGGATGGGGAGGTGGGTGATCCTCCTACCCCGAAGAAGCAATTTGTGGAATCATCTGATGATCTGGAAAAGGTGGAGGAAGCCAGCCTCGAGTGGCCCCAAGGCGATAAATGAGGATTCTGGCCTGGAATGTGAGAGGAATTGGGTCATCCCTCACCTTCCAAACTGCTGTAGGGCTTGTGCATTCTAATAAACTGGATCTCGTCTTTTTTTCGGAAACTCGATCGAGCCGGCTTGTAGTATCCCGTCGTATGCGGGGTTTAGGTTTTCCTTTATCGCATTGTTTTTTGTTGATGCAGTCGATGCATCGGGAGGTTTAGTAGTAGCTTGGGCCCCCAGGGTTAACACTTCGGTGTTTTGTCATTCTCATTTCTATATTTGTTCGCAAATCAATGAAGGAGATTTTTCTTATGTAGTGATCTTTGTTTATATTAGTTGTCATGCTGCTGTTCGAGCAACCCAGTTAGCCTATTTGAGAAATGTTTGTGCAAATATCAATCACCCTTATGTGATCATAGGCAATTTCAATGCTACTTTGCACGAAAGTGAAAAAGATGGGGGGCGGCCGTGGAATGCTGCCCAAGCTTTTAGTCTCCGTGATTTTGTTCATGAGTTGGGTCTCCATGACCCCGGTTACCAGGGGGATCAATTTACTTGGACTAATAAGCGCATGGGCGATGCTTGCATTCGTGCACGTCTAGATGGAGCTATTTGCTCTCAATCTTGGATGGGTACTTACCCGGAGACTCTTGTCAAGCATTTCACGGATCAGGGATCGGACCATCGTGCACTTCTCCTTGCTGATAAACCATTTGTTCGTACTAATCGGCCACTTTTCCGGTTTGATGCCCGCTGGGCGGATAATCCGGAGGTGAGAGCCATGGTCAACTATGTCTGGCAGGAGGAGGTCCAAGGCACCCCTATGTTTCGACTGTGGGAACGCTTAAAGAAACTCCATCATCTTCTCTATGATTGGAGCAGGGCGGGCACGACTAATTCCCTGCGCAATATCAAGACGCTCCAAGCCGAGATTGAAAGGATAAAATTGATTCATCCGGTGGATTGGGATACGATTAGGACCCTGGAAACGAAGCTCTCCCTCCAATGGGAAGCGGAGGAGGTGTTCTGGCAGCAAAAATCCAGAGTTAAGTGGTTAAAAAAAGGGGATCAAAATTCTGCCTACTTTCATACGGTCACAAGGGCTAGGCGGAAGAGGAATTTTGTCTCTGGGCTTCGGAATGAGGAGGATGAATGGGT